TGTATAAAAAGTGTATGAGCTGTCCCTCCACGTAAGATCTTCCCGCGTATATAAATAACTCCCCCCTTTGACCTCTCTCTGTATTTCAGAACTCAAGTCAAAAAAATTCAAAGTTTCAAAATTTTCAACCATGCAGAGGTCAAATAAGAGATTTAGAGAAGACGGAACGTCGTACACTGACCAAAATAACCAACAATTTCCACACTTTCCTCGGCTTACTGGAGAAGAAGAGTATTCTGTTATGGTTTCAGCTTTGAAAAATGTCATCAATGGTAGTACTCCCATGGAAAATAATAATACTCAACACTTCAACTTATTTTCACCTTTTCAATATTCTACTGCTACCTCCACTGCCACGACTGTTACCGCATATTCCTCGCCTTCGAACAGCATGTCTACAATTGAACAAGGAAATGTGGTGTCACCTATTTTAGGTGTCCCAGCAGAACAAGAACCTTGTCCATTTTGCAGAATCAAAGGTTGTTTAGGTTGCGACATTTTCGGAACCACGTCTTCTGCTGCTGTTACTTTTGCAGAATCAAAGGTTGTCGCTGGTGATGATAATAAGAAGAAGAGTACTACAATCGCAATAGCAAAGAAGAAGAAGAAGAATTACAGAGGAGTGAGACAGAGGCCATGGGGAAAATGGGCAGCAGAAATTCGAGATCCAAGGAAAGCTGCGCGTGTTTGGCTTGGAACTTTTAATACAGCAGAAGAAGCAGCTAGAGCTTATGATAAAGCCGCTATTGAATTCAGGGGTCCAAGAGCTAAGTTAAATTTCTCATTTGCTGATTATACTGAGACTCAAGAACAACAGAGTGCTTCATCTTCTTCACCTCAACAGTTGCCGGAGCCACAGTTACAGCAAGGAAATAATGCAGAATTTGGAAGTGAAATTTGGGATCAGTTGATGGGGGATAATGAGATTCAAGATTGGTTGACAATGATGAATTTCAATGGTGATTCTTCTGATTCTACTAGCGGGAATGTTCACAGCGTTTAAGTTTCAGTTAAAACAAAATTAAGGTGCTTTGCCCCGTTGTATTTTATCGAATTTGGGCTCTTGCACATAAGGAAACACTAGTAATTGTCTACTCATTTTCGTATGTAATTCGGCACAATAGTCGAGTGAAATGTAAAAATTATGAGGAATTAATGTGAATATATTATTCGTTTTTATAATTACTTCCCCTGTTTCAAGTCAAATGGAGCTTACTATATTATTCGTTAAAATAGCACGGGGGCTAGCCAGTTTTCAGACTGGTCATCCAAAAATAGCCAGCGTTTTCAAAGTTATTGAAAAATAATCACTATTTTGCTGCAACAGGGACCGGTCCAGCATAATATACTGGAGATCGGTGCACCTGTGTATTAACTTCCAGCATATTATGCTGGAACTCCATCACGCGGAAAGTTCTAGGATAATATACTGGAGATTGGAGCATATGTGTATGAATTTTCAACATCTTATACTGGACCGGTATATTATACTGGAACTCCAGTATATTATGCTGGAGTTCCAGTATACTTATGCTGGAACTCCATTATAATATGCTGGAGTTCCAGTATACTTATGTTGGAACTCCAGCATATTATACTGGAACTCTAGCATATTATGCTGGAGTATTTTTTGGATTTTGAACAGTATTTTCGTTCAGATTTATCTTTACATAAACAGTAGCTAAATTTCGGTTACTTTTGAAACTGTGGCTATTTTTGAGTGACCACTTGTAAATTTGGCAATTTTCGAATTTCTCCCATTATTCCATCCGGTCCACAATAAGTGATCATATTGCCTTTTTATTTTGATCCAAAAAATACGTGTCAATTTACATAATCAAGAAGGAATTAATTTTAGTTTTTCAAAATTTGGCCTATTTACATATTACAACGTGTCAAGGTAACAAATAATTAAGATTAATTTAGTGAATACATTTTTTTTCTCTAGGAGTTGTATTTCCTTAATGGGTGTGCCAAAGATAAATTGATCACTTATTGTGGAGCGGAGGGAGTATGAGTTAAGCTGAATTCAATATATATGAAACATGAATATATAGTGATAAACGAATCAAACTTTAATAACTACTAAATTTTGAACATAGTTTTAAAAGTAAAATGCATTGATACAAACCGATTAAATTTAAATATTAAATTTGCTTTTTTTTTTTAAAGTTTAAAAAATTGAAATGTGGGGTCAGATGACACAGATACAAATCACCTGGTGATTTTGATGGCAAGCTAGAAAGTCACAGTGGCCCACTATACTTGGCAAAAAGTTTTTAAAAAGATCAGTTTTAATGTCGACTGAAAGAAACCACGTGCATAAATGAAAAATGTGGAAGCATATTTAACATGTGTTGATTTATGAAAAGAAATGTGCCCACGAGGGGAAATAAAGAGTGTTATCCAATCATTAGTTTATTATAATACTACCAAGTTGGCAAAAAAGCGAAACATTCAACCGACTCCAAAATAGAGGAGTAGAGACACCAATTAATAACGTGCGTGAGATTTGATGGATTCAGTGGGAAGGAAGAGTCAGTTACTCGGTATTGTTGACGGCACTAACTTGACGCGTACGGACTTGATTTTTTTGATACTCCCAGGTTCTAGACTCAAGTCAAATTATAGTCTTTGCCTCTTTGGTACCTTTTGGGTGACACTATTTGTCTAGTTAGCGGAGTCAAAATTTGAAATTTGTGATTTTTTTTTTTTGAATTAAGTATTTTAATTTTTATAAATTACTAAATTTTAAATTAATAATTATACATAATTTTTTAAACAAATACATAATTGAATAAAAGCTACTGGATTCAGTCGTATCTGAAGGGCTAGCTCCGCCCCTAATTTGCCTTATATTTATTGGTTAGCATTTACGAGCTCTGACGTAATAAAAATTCTTTTGTTCTGTTAATTAATGGGGAAAATGCAAATTTATTTTTTACTATACGAAATACTTTAATTTTATTTTTTTTAATCATATTTTAGGGTTATACATTCCTTTCCTATTATTATATCATCTGATATTCGCTCTTGAATTTAGCGTAAATTGGATGGATTTCACATATTAATATATGTTTAAAAAAAAATCCAAATTCACCCATCTAATTCTTATTCCAGTTTAAAGTTACCGTTTATTGTACTTCAAATGGGAACTTCAAGGTCAAAAGCAAATACGAGAAGATTTGCTAGTGGTAAGTGTATGAATGGCCAGAAGACAGATTTAGATTTTAAAGTTTGAGTGTGAGATGACGTTGAATCCACTTACCATTTGAGTTACTGTGTTTTGTTTACAATATTTGTACATATATAATATATTTCTTGACACATACAGAATTTGAGTCAATCATTATTAAATTCGGCCAAACTCGTAGTTGTATAGGAAAAAATATGATATAACACGTGGTCACCTAGAGGAAGGACACGTGGAACCCAAGACGGAGGTGGTCACAGAACGAAGCTATTCTGCTTGTCACCGGGAGAGAATGTTCATAAAGATATATTCAATGCTTTGCGTCCGGTAGCATTTAATAAAGAATATTCTGCAGTATTAGGAACTGCAGCCCATTAAAAGGAAGTTGGCATTAATTTTCACCGTTACACCTTCATCAATGGCCCTCATAATTGACACTAAAGGAGGGCACGATCTTAGGACCTCCTTCTCAAGACATAGATATAAATAGAAAGCTCAGTTATCATTGTAAATGACATGAATTTTCTGGCAAACTCATACTATCTTCTCTACAAAGCTTAATATCATTTACTTCTTGATTTTGATCACGTCATTGCTGTGAAGGAAGTTTTGCTCCCGGAATTATTATTTCTGCTATTTTATCTACATTTTAAGGCTAAGTATCGCATTATTCTTTAATTACTTTATTATTTCTGGATCAAATTAGTTCACTTGTCTATAAGCCACATATAAATTTAACTGTACTATTTTACGGGTAAACAGTTTGGCGCCCACCGTGGAGCCTAGGCAGCCGTGCAATTAAATTGAATCTTGCCCTTTTTACTAACGTACTTTGATTGTTTTGTCTTAAAGAAAAACCGCAAGAAATGACAGATAACACCGTCAACAACACACACAACCCCGAGATTCAGAGAGATCGGCCTCACTTCGAGGACTCAATTAGTGACACTCGTATGAGGAGAACACCGGCACACCGGTTCATAATAGGTAGTATCCTCGTCTAGTTCGGGGAGCAACTCCTGATGATGCTGATGAGGAACATGTTGTTGACGTGGTAAGGGTTTTATAAGAGCAACAAGCGATCATCCTAGGCCATCTCACGCGGCAGGATAAGGTTATGACGGAATTAAAGCAAGCATTGTCAGGTGCTTCCAACAACGCGAACAGACAAAATTCAATTCCTCCCGGTATCCCCCCAAATCAAACAACGCAGAGGGTCGGCAATAACACTCCCAGGGGTGAGGTTGGCTCCGACGGGGCTGGGGGGAGCGGGTCCGGTCACAATAGCAAGAACGATCCTTTTAAGAATGAGCTTTTACGGTTTATGAGGGAGGTAAACTTCCGCATGGACGGATCTGAGGCGCGCCACCAATATTGAAAGGACCGGATTGGAAGAAGTATACTCAATTCCGTACAAGCCCAGCGCTGCACTAGAGTTGATCCCGAAACGGTTCAAAATGCCTGAAGTGCCAAAATATGACGGAACTTCAGACTCTCAGGAGCATATCACCACCTACACAACAGCGAAAGGAAATGATTTAGCTCCTCATAAAATTGAATCTGTATTGTTAAAGAAATTTGGAGAAACTCTCACGAGAGGGGCTCTAACGTGGTATTCATTATTACCCGAACATTCCATTGACTCCTTTGAGATGCTCGCGAATTCTTTCATCAAGGCCCATGCCGGGGCCAAAAAAGTTCAAGGCCCCGATATATTCAGGATTGCGCAGGGAGAGTCCTAGTTGTTACGCGAATACGTCACTCATTTCCAGAAGGAAAGAATGTTGCTCCCGACTGTCCCGGATGAATGGGCAGCAGAAGCATTCACCAAAGGATTGAATTCGAGAAGTTCAGACGCTTCCCGGAAATTGAAGGAAAGCCTGCTCGAGTTTCAAGTAACGACTTGGGCGAATGTCCACAACTGGTACGAGTCAAAGATAAGAATCGAAGATGATCAATTTGGCTTTCCATCGTCGGTCAAAATGACGGGAGAAGGATAGAGAAAAATCAAGAGATGACTATGATAGACGGACTTTGAGGGGCCGATTTTTGCCCTACGAGCGGACTGAAGGCCATAGCAGAAACCTCTAAACAACGGATAAGTTCACCATTGACAGAAGGACCGATCGCAGTCGGAACAACAGATCGCTGCAGGAGAAAGAAACATCAGGGTCACGGATATTTCTTACCCCAGGTTATCGGAATACAACTTCAACATCAGTATAATGGAATTGGTGTCAGCAATGAGAAACATCAAAGAGGCACGGTTCCCGAGACCAATGAGATCCGTACAAGGACAGAGGGATCTTAACTTATGGTGTGAATACCATGGGATAAACGGCTACCGAACAGGGGACTGGCGACACCTTCAGGAAGAAGTGGCAACGCTATTGAAGAATGGTCACCTCAGAGAATTCTTAAGTGACCGAGCAAAAAACAACTATGGTCGGAACAGAGACACTTCGGAACCCTCGAAAGCAGGAGAAGAACCCCCACGCCAAACGATCAATATGATCTTCGAGGGGAATGAGATTAATGGGGTCACCTTTGCGGCGGCGAAGAAGACGAAAGTTTCAATAACTCATAGTAAAAGGCTCTGGGAAGATTATATCACTTTTACGGAGGAAGATGCAGATGGATTGCTGCTTCTGCACAACGATGCACAAGTAATTTCTTTAAATGTATTAGACTTTAAAATTAAACGTGTTCTAGTGGATCCAGGAAGTTCAGCTAATATCATACAATGGAGAGTACTGGAGCAAACCAAACTCACCGAAAGCATTATTCCGACAACAAAGCTCCTTGCTGGATTCAACCTCACGAGCGTGACAACCTGGGGAGAAATTCTGCTACTCATAAATGCTGAAGGAGTAATGAAAACAACTCTCTACGAAGTTGTAGACAGGGACATGTGACGACCCAAAGGGTCATCACCTGTTTCCTTACTCATTTTGTGCTTCTGAGGCCTTGAAAATCTCATTTGGGGTTGCCTCAATTTGCGTGCGCAGTTCGGGCGCGTAGGCGGAAAGCTTAAATATGAATTTTGTGAGAAAAATGCTAAATTTTGATATTAAATTGAATAAATTGACTTCGGTCAACATTTTGGATAAACGGATCCGGACCCGTGATTTGACGGTCCCGGAGGGTCCGTAGGAAAATATGGGACTTGGGCGTATGCCCGGAATCGAATTCCGAGGTCCCAAGCCCGAGAAATGAATTTTTGTGTGAAATTATTTTCTGGAAATAATTAAGGAAAATGAAAATGAAATTTGATTAAAAGACTATGGTATCGGGCTCGTATTTTGGTTCCGGCGCCCGGTACAAGCCTTATATATGGTTTAAGCGCTTTCTGTAAAGTTTGGTTGAAAATGGACGTCGTTTGACGTGTTTTGGACTTAAAATGGAAATTTGATGTTTTATAAAAATTTGGAAGGAATCATGAAATTTGAGGCTTAATTCGATGTATATGATGTTATTTTGGCGTTTTGATCGCACGGATAAGTCCGTAGGATGTTTTTGAGGTTTGTGTGCATATTTGGTTAGGAGCCCTGAGGGCTCGGATGAGTTTTGGATAGGCCACGGGTGCATTTTTTTTGAACTTTGGAATTTCTGGTATTTTTCTGAGCAGCAGACTTCGCATTTGCGAAGAGGGTCTCACAAATGCGAGCCCCGCATCGCAAATGCGAGACTAGGGACTTGGCTGCCTGATCGCAAATGCGATCTATTTGTTCGCAAATGCGAAAATGGGCAGGTCGCAAATGCGACAAAAGTGATCGCAAATGCGAATCCTGGGATTTTGAAAGGGTTCGCAAATGCGAACAATTTTCTCGCAATTCCCATAACAGGTCGGGGTTCGCAATTGCGAACCCCAGTTCGCAAATCCCATATCTGCAACCTGTATATTTTTATACTTAGTCGAATTTTGAACCATTTTTCACCCCATTTTAAAAACACAACTCCTTAGGCGATTTTCCAAGAACAAGTCTTCTTCCAAATCATTTGTAAGTTGATTTTTACTCATTTCCTTCAATCATTAACATCATTTAACATGTTTTCAACTTAAAATCAAGGATTTTCATGGGTGAAATTGGGGGTTTTGGGTAGAACCTAGGTTTTCTAAAAATTGGGGATTTGGAGCTCAATTTGAGGTCCGATTTCAAAACAATTTACATATTTGAGTTCGTGGGGGAATGGGTAACCGGGTTTTGGTTCGAACCTCGGGTTTTGACCACGTGGGCCCGGGGGCGATTTTGGAATTTTGGGCAAAACTTTGGGAAATTCATTTTTTATGCATTCAAATTGATTCATTTAGTGTTTATTAATGTAGTTAAACAATTTGTGATTAGATACGAGGGAATTGGTGGCGGAATCGAGGGGTAAAGCCATAACTGAGACTTGAGTTGAATTCAAAGCATCGAGGTAAGTGTTTGGTCTAACCCTAGCTTGAGGGAATAGGAGTTGAGTCTTATTTGCTACTGGACTAATTGTCGGGTACGATGTATAGGCATGGTGACGAGTATCTATACATTGGTGTCTAGTATGACCGTGAGTCCTTATTTTGCGAATAGTTTGGATTTTGTTATACCTTTCATGCTTAATTGATGACTTCTATATGTTGTAAAGAGCTTGTGAAAGGATTTGTGATCTTTAAACTTCGTGGAGCGTTGGCTCGAGTTGAAATACAAATTGTGAAGGTATATGAGGTAAGTAAATCTTTGGAGCATTGGCTCGAGTGATAATGTGAACTATGTGATGAAAGTAAAAGAAAGAGAAAGAGTTGTTGATCTATTCCCTTGCCGGGATGTTGTTGATTATTGGATATTCTCCCTTGCCGGGACGTTGAGACTATTGATGTTGTACCCTTGCCGGGATTTAATTGTTTTATTGTGTTCCCTTGCTGGTATTTCTATTATTATTATTTTGTTTATTCCCTTGCCTTTGTTTGTGATTGTTGTTTGGGTGAGGAAGAGAGTAAAGCACGAAGGGTGATGCCGTGCATTGTTTGTTTATTGTGAGGAAAGAGTGTAAAGCACGAAGGGTGATGCGGTGCATTGTTTGTTATCTTGTGAGGAAAGAGTGTAAAGCACGAAGGGTGATGTCGTGCACTGTTTGCTTATTGTGAGGAAAAGAGAGTAAAGCACGAAGGGTGATGCCGTGCCGCACGATGTACCATTCCGTGCCAATTCTATTGATTATATGTGAGGAAAGAGAGTAAAAGCACGAAGGGTGATGCCGTGCACATTTTATATCATTGCTTGGTGAGGATGAGAGTAAAAGCACGAAGGGTGATACCGTGCACTTATTGCTGTTTGCTATGATTTCTTGTTGTTATTAGTTCAAGTGCATTACTTGTCTTATTCCATTATTTCTGTGATTCTTTACGTTGACATTTCCCTTTATCGTGTCACTTGTTATTATTGAACCAAGGTGTCCTTGCGCAACGTTATGTCTTGAATTTATGCCTTAATTGCTTCATGATTATGTGACTTAATTGCTACGTGACATTCAACATATCAATTACTAAATTGCCTAATTGCCCCCTTATAATCCATAATTAAATTGCTATTTGTCATTATTTGTTTTCCTTAGTGAATCATAAATGTTGTGTACTTGTTGTCTTATGAACTCGTATTAATGGTTGCGTTTGTTAGAGTAAATTTTCTTTTGGAGGAACTGTTGATATATTGAAATAGGAGCGGGTGGTACGCCTACCATAAGTGATATTGAAATGGGAGCGGGTGGTACGCCTACCACGAGTGATATTGAAATGGGAGCGAGTGGTACGCCTACCACGAGATATTGAGAAATGGGATCGGGTTGCACGCCTGCAACAAGATGAGTTGAATATGAAAGTTGCCTTATCTCTTCATTTACTGCTAGAAGTTAAATTGTAGATGTACGCTTTATTATTCCTGAAATTCTATTTCTAACTGTTGCCCCTGAAGCATGCTCCCTTCCCCAGCTTAAATTGTTATTTTCTTGATACGTCTCCGTTGTACTTGTATATATATCTGCTCAGGTTTATTTGGTGGTCTGGTCCTAGCCTCGTCACTACTTCGCCGGGGTTAGGCTAGGCACTTACCAGCACATGGGGTCGGTTGTGCTGATACTACACTCTGTGCTATTTTGCACAGATACAGGCTTCGGGCAGCAGCAGCAGTAGTGTGGGAGTAGGCTTTCAGCCCAGCGAGACCCGAGGTAGCCTTGCAGGCGTTCGCAGGCACTGGCGTCTCCTTTCGTCTATATTCCTGTTTCTTTCATGTATTCTGGAGACAGTGTCGAGTTATTTCTTTCAGACCTTTATGTGTAGTACTCTTAGACCGTCTGTGAAACCGTGACACCAGTCTTGGGTGGAGGCTTTTGTTGGGATTTCCGCATTTTTATTAGATTCTCTATAATATTGAGACCTCCGCTTATTAATTAATTTCATTGCTTTGTATTATTGACGATAATGGTTAAAAGGAATTATGTTATTGATGAAAAAAAGTAATTAAATTTGGCTTGCCTAGCTCTCATTAGTAGGCGCCATCACGACTCCCGAGGGTGGAAAATCCGGGTCGTGACAAGACATGGGGTACAATATTATCCTGGGAAGACCATGGTTACATGAGATGAAAGTTGTGCCTTCAACTTATCACCAACTGTTGAAATTTTCGACACCCGAGGGGATCAAACAGATAAAGGTTGATCAACCAGCAGCAAGGGAGGCAAACAAATGCAATATCCGTCTCCAGTAGTAGCGGAAAGCAGCGCGTGGCATAGCAATTACAGGAACCGACACCTACCCCCGAATTAGAGAAATTTAGCCCGGGAATGGAGGAATCGGAACAGTATCAGGTTCCAAGGTATTTCCAAGTTCCAGAAGATACGTACGCAACGAAGTCCACAACGGAAGAATTAGAGCAAGTTGTGCTGTTCGAAGAATTCATAGAAAGGAAATTCCATTTGGGAACAGGACTGCACCCGGAGTTCAGGTATGCTTTTATTGAATTTCTTAAAATCAATGCTGATTATTTTGCATGGTCGCACGAGGATATGATAGGTATCTCGATGGATATAACGGTACACAAGTTAAGCTTGGATCCCGACATACCTCCAGTAAGACAAAAGAAGCGCCCTATAGCTGAAGCAAGGAATAAATTTATCAAAGAAGAGATAACCCGCTTACTCAATATCTCCGAGAGGTAAGATATTCAGACTGGCTAGCTAATGTAGTAGTAGTTCCTAATAAAAACAATAAATTCCGCATGTGCGTAGACTATAAGGATCTTAATGAGGTGTGCCCGAAAGGCTCATTCCATTGCCAAATATTGATCAAATGATTGATGCCACGGCCGGGCACGAGTTAATGAGTTTCCTCGATGCTTATTCCGGGTACAATCAAATCAAGATGAACCCAGAAGATCAGGAAAAGACTCCGTTTATAACAAATTTCGGTATATATTGTTACAATGTGATGCCCTTCGGGTTAGAAAATGCCGGGGCCACTTATCAACGACTCGTGGATAAGATGTTCAAGAAACAGATAGGAAAGACTATGGAAGTATATATAGATGATATGCTCGTTAAGTTTGAATGCAGGTGACCACCTTAAACATTAGCAAGAAACATGACATCCTGAGGGAGCATAACATGAAACTAAACCCCGAGAAGTGTGCTTTCGGGTCAGCTCTGGTAAGTTCCTGGGATTTCTGGTCTCACAAAGGGGAATTGAGGTAAACCCCGACAAAATCAAGGCCATTGAAGATATTCTGGATCAATTGTCAAACGTAAAAGAAGTCCAGAGGCTCATAAGGAGATTAGCAGCACTGAGCATATTCGTTTCCCGATCGTCGGAAAAATGTCATCGCTTCTTCGCATTGCTCAAAAAGAAGAAGAATTTCGAATGGACATCGGAATGTCCGCAAGCCTTGAA